GGCGGGGTATAAATCCAATCTCTTCTTCTCTTCTTCTTCTTCTTCTTCTTCTTCTTCTTCTTCTTCTTCTTCTTCTTCTTCTTACCTGTAACTGATTATCTTTGAGTGGTCATCTGTGCATTCACACCACCCGCCCTCCTTCCCCTCTGCTTTCAGTCCTCTCCTTTTTATTACTCTGAGACTGATGGCAGCGGTCAGAAGGAACTGGCGGGATTGTCGTGCCCCTCCCTTGGTCATGCGCAGTGGGGCCGGCACGTGACTGGGAAACAGGCGCGAAAATCCCTTTTGCTTTCAAGAGGGACTGATTGAGGTCGGCACAGGCACACTATATCCCAGAGGTGTGAATGCACAGATGACCACTCGAAGATCATCAGTTACAGATAAGCAACCTGTTTTTGTGGCATGCTGCTCATTTGGGGGGGCTGTTTTCACTTTAAAATTATACTCTGTGTTTATAAACTGGGTAGTTTCTGCTGCCACCAGGAATTTTAAGAAATTCCAAATCTTCTCTCTGTTTCTGCTGCTTGTAATGTGACCCAGGGTCAGGGCTTTCAGAGGTCTATGTGGCCCTGAGAAAGGATTAAACCAAATTCTGGGTTAAACTTAAACAAAATATGTTTTATTGATTAAGGAACAAAAATAAATTGCTGGTTAACTGTAACCATTTTTGGGGAAAGGAACTGGTAAATAAACTGGCAAGGTATCACACACAGTCTTTTTTGACAATAAGATCCCACTCTGACAGGAATCTCTCCTTTACATAGGCAGCCACTCTGGCTAAACTCTTTGTATTATTGACTCTCTTTCATAACTTTAGAGTCTCACAGACCCTTCTCATAGCTCCTTCACACTTAAACTTTTAAAGATGTATATACTGAACTCTTTAAGTTTCCACACAGAACTCTGTCATATCACTCACTGACTGACTCACTAACTGAATAACTGACTCTATCTCTGACTTCAAGACGCACACACAGATTCACGCCAAACAACTCCTCCCATACTCCGTCATCCTCCAATCACAGCACACTTGTCTCCCTCAATCACTCTACTCTTCTAGCGCTGCACTCCAACCAAACATTTAAAGACACACACACACACACACTAAAACAAGGAATCATTACAGTGGTGTCCAGTGTTTAAAATCCCGTGACATGAAGGCAAGTACCTCAAAGTCTCCAGCTCCTGTCTCTGTTCCATTGTGTTTTCTGAAAGCTGCTATTCCATATCCTGTGGCAATACCCATGGCAGGAAACAGGAAGAATAAAATGGCTTCTCTCAAGAAGCAACAACACAGTGCCAATGAAAGCAAGAAGTAAAGGGGATTGGGAAGAACTTTGACCTGCTTCTGTTACCAGATTTAAAAACTGTGATTTTAAGATTTAAAATGGCCTGATTAAGGCTGGCTTTAGTTTTCCTCTGGGATTCCTTGAAGCTGTTGTCCCTTGTAATCCCTGTTATTGTGGCTGTTGCATCCTGCTAGATGGCAACATTAAGCATAATACTGTGGACAGTTCTTCCTTTTCCTGTCTTCTCTGGTTGGGCTTTAGAATACTGAAGTTGAAAATTGCATTTCAGCTGATAGCACAGAATGTATAACACATTTTCTTTGCACACTTTATCATTGATTTAATGAGAATCATACTGCCAAGAAAGAACTATTAAGTAATATCTTTTATGTAACCAGAGGATATTATCCATTTTATGAGCTCTACAGCAAATTGTGAGGTCCACCAGGTACAGTTTGCAGGGAAAGGCAAACGTTTAAGAATTTCCTATTTAATTTATTAGGTGAAACACCTAAATGCAGCTTTCTTCTCTTCTCCCAATTCCAGCTTCTGTCAAACCAATGAGCACTGTAAAATGGTCAGATATTAAAACACACGAGAAATAAGACCAGCTTATAGATGTTTGTATTTTTCTTTTAACAGACGAAATCTACCTGGAGATAGACAGAAAGCTCTAGATATTATGATACCTCTGGTGGAGAGCGAGAGCCAGGTAGCTTCAGACATGTATTGCCTTGTGGGACGGATATACAAAGATATTTTTTTGGATTCTGGATTTACAGACACAGAGAGTAGAGACCAAGGAACTATATGGTAAGTAGCACTTCACTGCACGTCGATTTGTTTTGTTTTAAACTGCAAAAACATCTGTTCCTCAATCCAGCTAAAGTTAGTAACTAAATCTCATTGAAAACAGCAGTGCTTTACTTAATCACAGGTAACATCATATAAGTTTCAATGAGACTTTTTTATGACTAATGAATTGGATTTTTGATGCTTTTGTCTTTCTATGAAATAAAATGTTGTGCCAATTGACACTGCTGCACAAAGTTTGTATGGAAAAGGCACTTCAATGAGTGGTTCTCGGAGGTTTCTCCACAGCTGTGAAACCGCTTCCAACTTCTAGAAGAGGCTGTGTGCCATACTCTTTCTGTAAGCTTAAGAATATTAGGAGCATGAATTAATGTTTTATTTGCTTTAGCTGTTGGCTTTTAACAGATCAATAAAAAGTACAAACCTACATAGTTAACACCTCTTTACAATTCCCTTTATAGCTGCATTCTTAGCAACAAAATCTTGTTAAATTTTGGCAACAAGTATAGTCCTTGTGACCCTTCTATCTTGAACATTCAGAAGAATTTCAGCTTTGTGCAGTATGAACCAATAAGGGATTCTTTTATTGTGGTAGGCTGCACCAGCTCTTTCATTTTCAGAAATTGCATTGCATTGCATATAGGTTCTCTCCTATATATACATATGAGGCAAACGGATGGAATTGCTCTTTCTGTGTCATCCATCAGTTGAGTTTGGCTAACAGGAGATGGAGGAAAAGACAGTGTCCCTCTCATCTTTTCCTCTGTACTCCAGCCTCCCCACTTACATGGCTATGAGGCCATGTGGATTCTGGGACATTAGGAATAAACTTTCCCAAGTTCAGAAAGGAATGCTGAGGAGGGGAGAAATGTGAGAATGATCCTTGACCATCAGCACCTTACACTGACAGACGGCTGGATCTAACTCAGTTTGTACCTGGTGATGGTGGGAAAATCAATATATTTTCCCATTGGCAAGTTATTTTAAAGTGCCTGTCAGGAGTGGAATTTTAACTCAATATAATGCAAGGCCACCAATATCAATCCACCAGAATGTGGACAGGATCTTTGGGGCTTTTGTATGTTTGTGAGTGTCAACAAAGATGAGAGCAATACCATAAGGAGTCTGGACTCTGTCAAGAGGCTGAACTCCTAGCAGAGTCACTCAAGGTGGAATGGTCACAGCTGACACACCAGACCATGATGCATGCCCCTTCAGGAATCAATGGCCACATCAGCAGAAGAGAATGGACAGTTTCAGTCAGCCCCATAGCTAAGGGGTTTTGGGGGAAGGGGCCTGGGGGGGAACCACCAGCCAATTGAATCAAAGTTAATTAAATTAACTTTGATTTAATTGGTGGAACTCTTAAGGCAGCCCTGCACACACACCCAGGCTATAGGATAATGCCCAGTGGCCGCAGCTTCCCTCCCCACCCCCCTGCAAGGGCAGATCAGTCTCCTGTGTAAGTCATAGCCCTGCTAACAAGAGAACCGGCACTGAAATGGGCGACCACAGTGCGTGCTTCAGAGAAATCCAGGGAGTGAGGATTCCACTCCCTCGGCTCCCCGCTCGGCTCCCCGGCACCAACCGTCAGCCTCGTCCTCCCGCAGTTCCTCCTAGAGCCTTCCCGACAGCTGCACCCGCTTCTAGGCGCTCTTCCCCCGGGGCGGGCAGCCTCGTGGGCTGGCTGGCTGGCTCTCCGTCCTTCCCTCCCTCCCTCAGTGGGTCATCGCTCCTCGGACTGGCTGCGGGGCTCTCCAGGGCATGGGCGGGCTTGGCAATCAGCAGAGTGCCCTTAAGCTGAGGAGCCGCTTTGCGGAGCTGCAGGATGAGTCCCGCTCTGCGGAGCAGCAAAGACACACTGGGGAAAGTGGGCGCTGGCACCAGGAATGAGGAGGCAGGCACCCAGGAGCAGCAGCAGGCGGTGCAGAGTCACCGGCTACTGGGCTAAGGGCAGAAACAGGGGAGAGCTGAGGATTGGGGAGGGGCCCGTAAAAACCACAGGGGGGTGGGCCCCATGGGCCCCACAGTAGCTACAGACCTGTTTTCAGTGGTTATGGGGGCAGAGGAATCCTTGAAGGGTAGTTCCTGGGCAGCAGCAGTAGTGGAAGGCGACATGGAGGGTACTACCACTTGCTTGTATTTGTTATGTAAGAAGAAGAAGGGGGGAGGGGGAGGAGGAGATTGGATTTATACCCTGCCCTTCAGTCGGAGTCTCAGAGCAGCTTACAAATTCCTTTCCCTTCCCCCCCACAACAGACACCCTGTGAGGTAGGTGGGGCTGAGAGAGCTCTGAAAGAAACTGCTCTTTTTCAGGAACAGTTGTGCCAGAACTATGGCTTGCCCAAGGTCATCCAGCAGCTGCAAGTGGAGGAGTGGGGAATCAAACTGGGTTCTCCCAGGTTAGAGTCCATGCACTTAATCACTACACCAAACTGGCTCTCATGGGTGCGAAAGGTGGACAATGAAGAAAGCTGACAGGAAGAAAGTTGATTCATTTGAAATTTGGTGTTGGAGGAGAGTTTTACAGATACCACGGACCATCAAAAACACAAATTAGTGGGTTCTAGATCAATTCAAGCCTGAACTCTCCCCTAGAAGCTAAAATGACTAAACTGAGGCTATCATACTTTGGTCACATTATGAGAAGACAAGAGTCACTGGAAAAGACAATAAGGCAGCAGGAAGAGATGGATTGACTCAATCAAGGTAGCCACAGCCCTCAGTTTGCCAGACCTGAGCAAGGCTGTTAATGATAGGACATGTTGGAGGTTGTTCACTCATAGGGTCACTGTAAGTCAGAAGCAACTTGATGGCACTTAACATGCACACACACTTGCTTATATGACCCTTGTCCTTTCTGGCTTCTTAAATCTGCTGGGGCGGGGGCTGGTTGCCCGAGTCCAAGAGGTAGTTAATGCTTCCTTGAGACAGTAGAGTCATAGAATCATATAATGTTAGAGTTGGAAGGGACCTTGCAGGTCATCTAGTCCAACCCCCTGCACTCTGCAGGAGCATAGCCGAAAGATAGCCCTACAACATACCCAAAAGGTGGTCATCCAGCCTCTGCTTGGAAACGTCCAGCGAAGGAGCATCCACCTCCTCCTGAGGCAGTCTGTTCTACTGCTCAACCACTCTTACAGTTAGGAAGTTTCTCCTGATATTTAGCCGGTATCGACTCCCTTGTAATTTCCACCCATTAGATCTAGTTTTGCAGTCCGGAGCAACAGAGAATAGATCTGCTCCATCTTCTACATGACAGCCCTTCAAATACTTGAAGACTGCAATCATGTCCCCTCTAAGTCTTCTCTTTCCCAGGCTAAACATCCACAACTCTTTCAGCCTTTCCTCATAAGTCTTGGATTCCAACCCTCTCACCATCCTGGTTGCCCTCTTCTGGACACGCTTGAGCTTGTCAACATCCTTCCTAAAATGTGGTGCCCAAAACTGGACACAGTACTCCAGGTGAGGCCGGACCATTGCAGAATAGAGCGGAACTACCTAGCCTGGAAACAGGCTGTGTTGTATCCACTTTTAAAGTAGCCTAACCTGGACATAGGAGATCTTCATAACTATTGACCAATCTGAAATATTCCATTCTTGAGCAAGGTGGTATCTGTAGAACTTCAAGCTTTCCTGAATGAGGCAAATTGTTTAAGTAATTTCCAGTCTGGTTTTAAGGCTGGTTATAAGACTGAAACTGTTTGTGCTTTCATGCCAATAAAGGTTTTGTGTGTGTGTGACTGAAACAGCCTTGGTCTCTGCTGGATGACCTGCACTGGGAGATGGGGAGAGGGAATATGAGTCTCTTGAATCTTCTGGACCTGTCAGCAGCTTTTGGTACCATCGATCATGGTATCCTTTTGGACCATTTTTCCAGGCTAGGATTGGGAGGTACTGTTGTGTAGTGGTTCCAGTCCTACCTGGAGAGTAGGTTTCAGAAGGTGGTGCTGGGGTACTGCTGCTCAACCCCTTGGCCTTTGCCCTGTGGGATCATGCAAGCTTTCCTGTTTAATATCTATGTGAAACATCAAATTGTATCACTTGAAAAAGTGGCTTAACTTTTTTTTGTACTGAAATAGAAATTTTGGAATGGATATGGGCTAATAAATTTAAGCTTAATCTAGACAAGATGGAAGTGCTACTGGTGGTAGGAGTGATAGGATCCAGAACGGGGTCTGGATGAGTGTTCTGGATGAGGTTGTACTCCCCTTGAAGGAACAGGTACTGGCACCAAAACTCTGAAACTCTCTTCCCAGGGAGACACATCTGTCCCCCCTTCCATTGCCATCTTTTGCCAGCTGGTGAAGACTTTTTGTCTGGTGTTCCCTTAGTGATCCCTGCTTCATGCTCTATGTTTTTATTATTGTTTTTATATTTTTGTATGTATTTAGCTCTGGTTTTTAATAGTTTTAAGGATGTTTTTGTTGGTTTTAATATTTTTAAGATGAAATTTTATTATGTATGTTTTAATTGTTAATTGTCTTGGTGTCCTCTTGAGGGCAGAAAGGCAGGGTATAAATATTGTTAAATAAATAAAATAAAAATAATGTGCCTCAAGAATTAAAAGTATGTGAATTTTTTAAAACCCTGACATTTAATTTTCTAAACATTTCTATTATTCCTTGCTAAGTAAAAGGCTAAAAAGACCCCAGATATTAATAACTAGGAAAACTGGGCCCAGCCTTTAAAATAACTTGGTAGGTAAGGCCTGCCTATTGTCTTTTGGAGCATATCATGTCCCATGTTGCTTATCTTCCTGCCTTTTCTTATTATCTTCTTGCTTCCAAGTTGAAGACAAGAATGTACACTGTTATGCTTGCCAATCTGAAGGTTGGGCCTAGAGTCCTCCTGGAATTACAAGTGATCTCCAGACTACAGAGCCCAGTTACCCTGGAGGAAATGGTGGCTTTGGGAGTCTATAGACTCCATAGCATCTAGGACCCCTCTCCACCTCCGTCTCCCTCCCTGATCCCAGGGGAAACCAGGAGAAGGCAGGAAAAGGCTGCTTTAAATAGGTTCTGGAGTCTTCTTTATTTATGTTTCCACCACCCCTTTATTTTTATTCAACACCCCCCCCAATTGCACCCAAGGCTCCTACCGCCCACCTGGATCATCCCTGGGAGGCGGTATTGCCCACTTTGGGAACCAGTGTCCTAGAGTAACATCACCACTGAGCTCGCTTTCCCCCCCAGCCACTGCCTCCAAATCACCAGGAGTTTCCCAGTTAGATCTGGCAACCCTATAAGAGTGCTAATAGATGTGGGGGTTTTTTTTGGGGGGGGGCATATTTACTGACCTTCATTTATTTTTCTTGATGTCTGGGAGTTCATTATGGCCAAGTTTTTAAGAACTACTGTATCAGAGGCATCTGTTATAAAACATTGCCCATGTATAAAGAGATATTTCACTAATTTTTATAAGAGTGCTAATAGATGTGGGGTTTTTTTGGGGGGGGCATATTTACTGACATTCATTTATTTTTCTTGATCTCTGGGAGTTCATTATGGCCAAGTTTTTAAGAACTACTGTATCAGAGGCATCTGTTTTAAAACATTGCCCATGTATAAAGAGATATTTCACTAATTTACTGTGTGATTATAGTTACGTCAGTAGTGACCAACAGTTTTTTGCATTATACATTATTGTATTGCCTGGCCAATAGAGACATTGCCCATCTAATTTTCCTGAACATGCTCAGTATTGGTAGCTGATTTTTAGTGTGCATGCACATAAAAGCTCATACCTTGAATAAACCTTTGTTGGTCTTAAAGGTGCCACTGGACTCTAAATTTGTTCTGTGACATGACATGCTCGCAACTCTCCAAAGGGTGAAACATGTTGGCAGCAGTGTTCCCTCTGCTGAGTTCGTGTGAGTTAGCGTGCAGTTTTTTCGCCTCAGGCTCACACATGTCTTAGCTCAGGAAGGATAGGGCCAGAGCAACCTAATTTATGCCGTAGCCAAATTGCTCACTCACAACTTTGGTGTAGTGGTGAAGTGTGTGGACTCTAATCTGGGAGAACCGGGTTTGATTCCCCACTCCTCCACTTGCACCTGCTGATGTGACCTTGGGTCAGTCACAAGCTCTGGCACAGCTGTCCTTGAAAAAGAGCAGTTTGTGTCAGAGTTCTCTCAGCCCCACCCATCTCACAGGGTGTCTGTTGTGGGGAGGGGAAGGGAAAGGAGTTTGTAAGCCGCTCTGAGACACCTTTGGGTAATGAAGGGCGGGATATAAATCCAATCTCTTCTTCTTCTTAATGCCAGTAGCTCACAAAGTAGAATTTTTGCTCACAGGACTCCACAGCTTAGAGGGAGCATTGGTTAGCAAGAGCAGTCAGGTTCTTGACATTGCTCTTTCGGGTGTTGGTGATGGCAGAAATGGTGCCAATACCAGTTGAGTTGTTCAGGTCTTCTCCATCAGCTCTGAAGATAAGGAGGTTGTAATGCTTCTTGCATTGTGTGAGTTATTTAGATCTACTTTCACCTTTCTGTCCCTGATCTAAAGAAGAAGCTGTCTGACTTTACAGGGCAAAGTCTGGATGAGCCCAGGTTGTGCAATAAACTGTCACCTTTAACCATGTTTTGTGGCCTTTAGATAGGTCTTGGGAAGAGAGTTATTGTGAGCATATTTTCACTGTGGTATTTAATTTTCTGTGCAACCAAAATTTCTATCTTGTACCCTATCAATTTTTCTCTTTGTTTGAGTTGGCTGGTTAAATGTAGATTTAAAAAAAGCAAAACTATCTATTTGGATTAAATTTGTTCTTGTATTTGCTTCTGTATACAATATCAAAAGTAATATAATTTGAAACAGATACATTTGTAAAAGGTTCAGAGAATTTACATATCCAGCTAAATTTTTAATTTTATAAGCAAAGGGTTGAGCTTGATTTATATGAATTCATTTTTTACTTGTGATTGTTCCTTTCATGAACTTTCCAGACCTTTATTCTTTGCTAATAATATAATGTTGAAATAACTAATTTTGATAAAGATTTGTAACTGCAAAACAAACTCAAGACTATTCAGGTGTATCATTTAAGAAATTAAATGCTATTCATAAAATTAGGGCCAAGTTAACTTTTAGCAGACTCAATAATGCTTCCAGCTACCTGTTTACTTTCCAAACCTTTCTGTTTGCAGTGGCTGAGATGCCAAAATGTGTATGGCACGAATAAAATAGTCTATACCTGCTCAGTGGTTAATGGTTAATGAGGAAGGGAAGGAGGAAGGGCTTTTTATTGGAAATGAATGTTTTGCTAGTTAAAACATCATTCCTTGTTTTGTCATGCCTCACTGTGAATCACAAGCAATCAAATGGGAGAACTGCTTATTTAGATTGTTAAGCCAATGGCATAGACACATATAACAGCCTTTTTAAAAGGGGGCGGGAGAGCTAGCACAGTGTGTTGGCTGAGGGCCAGACTACATGTGTGACTGTAGCCCAGCAATCCTTTTTCAGTTGTGAAACCGCTTCAGGAGCAAGTGATAAAATGCTGAGCGGTGGGAGTGGAGGAAGGTTGCTTTAACCCATTCATTTTCTGCTTCAGATTTTCTCCCCGCACACATCCCTGTCCCTGCAGGGTTTGAAATACTTGTTCTAATGGAGAAAAAAAGAATGATTGGAAGAGAACACTTAGGGGCAGAGAAATAGTGGGTATGGAAAGAACTTAGTGGTGTCCATCCTGCAACTTATCCATTCTCAGTTGCCCTTTCAACCTATAAAAAGGGCTGTCTATCTCCCTAAAATCTTGAACTCGGAGCTGGGCTGTCCCCAGTTGAAATCTCTCCTCAGACTGAATAAATGGATGATCTGATGTGAACTCATGAGGTGCCCTTACATAAGTGACTATTATTCCAGTCCCTCTCCCATCAGCAACCTGGAGATGATTCTGACCTGTTTTACAAGGTTGTTGTAAAGCTTACTGAGATTATGATTGGGAAAAACTTTGGACACTTGAAGTGTGCTATATGAACATTGGTTATTATTATATATTATTAATACTACCCTTGAGTTTGCTATTGTTTGGAAAGGGCCGTCATGTCACAACTGACTTATGGCGACCCCCTAGGATTTGCAAGGCAAGACACATTCAAAGGTGGTTTGCCGGTGCCTGATGTGTTGTGACCTTGGATCTTTTGGTGGTGTCCCATCCAAATACTAACCAGGGCTGACTCTGCTTAGCTTCCATGATGTGATGAGAACAGGGTAACTTCGGCTATCCAGGTCAGGCTGTTATTGTTTATAAATGTAAAAACTCCTGTTTATACATTTTAATCCTCCCACATTGGAGTACCACATAATTCTGCATTCACTTCTGTAGTGTCATAGGACCACTGGGTATGGATAAACAGCAGGGATGGGCATGAACGGGCTGACGAACTAAAGTTCATCACAAATTTTGGCTAGTTCATGGTTCATGAAGGAATGTGTGCAAATTGAAGAACCACCATGAAATTTCATAAATGTTGATGCAGTTTGTGGTGGTTCATGAAGAGCAGAAAGCAGTGGTTTAAACCCCTGCTTTCTGCTCTTCATGAAAAACAGCTGTGTGGTTTAAATGGCTGGGAACAATTTAAACCACTGCTTTCTGCTTCCCGTGGGTAACAGAAAGCAGGGGTTTAAAAGGCTCCAAGCCTGGGACTGGCTGGGGCTGAGCTGTTTAAAGCGGCTTTCTTGGGCAGCCAGGGCCTGGGGCTTGCTGCCCAATAAAGGCCCTTTATACAGCTGAGCCACATGGAGCAAAGTGCTCCCACAGCTCAGCTGTTTAAAGGGGCTTTCTTGGGCAGCTAGCCCCTGGGGATGGCTGCCCAATAAAGCCCCTTTAAATGGCTGAGCCGTGGGAGCAGGCTGCTCCTCCAGCTCAGCTGTTTTCAATCTAAACAGCTGAGCTGCAAGGGCAGCCTGCTTTCACGACTCAACTATTCAGAGCCTGAAACAACTGAGCTGGGGGAGCAGGCTGCCTCTGTGGCTCAGCTGTTTCAGGGATGAACTGGTTTGGTTCATATGTGAGCCAATTGGGTTTATGGTTCAGTTCATGGTTTGCCCACGAACCGAACTGCGTTTTTGTGGTCTGTGCCCATCCCTGGTAATCAGCTTTTAAACAGAAATGTGTCAGTCTAAATTGGATGGATTGAAGTCATAATCCTAGAATAAATGTCCTAGAGAATTGTTATGCTCATGTTCAGACTTTATATTTTTAGTTCTCAGTACAAAATAGCAATGCTGTTAACAAGCTGTATATTTTTCATAATTGCATAAACACATGAGGAAATAGTAGGAGGATGTCATAAATGTTGGCTTCTTAAAATAACCATGAAACCTGGATGGAGAACAGTAGAATATTTTGTGCTTGAAAGGGTTGAGTGCATTGAGTAAACTGATGATCAGCTCTCAGAGTACCAAAAATGTAATTGCCTCCTTGGAAAACTGCCTTGTTTTTAAACATAAACTTGTTGTTCTTCTAGGTTCAAGAAGGCATTTGAGTCAGAACCAACATTACAGTCAGGAATTAATTATGCAGTACTTCTCTTGGCTGCCGGGCACCAGTTTGATACCTCTTTTGAGCTGCGGAAAGTTGGTAATGTAATTTTGAGCCACATAAAGTTGGCAATATATAATATTAATATAATGCACAGGCAAATCAGCTTCTATGACAGCATTTCCATCATTCTCTCATTTTAACAGAAATGCTGTGATGCACGTTGCCAGACTTCTTTGTACATAAGTAATCTTGAACTTCAGCTAGCTTTTCCATTTCAGTGATATCTCCTCAGGGCTCTGCACTGATTCTGTATATTGACTTAATCTTGACTGACTTCAGTTGTATGGGTTAGAGTTCTCTTTCACAGAGTGTCACGACAGGGCCAGTGGGGCAAGGCAGAGAGGGAGAGTTTACAGTCCAGTCCAAGAGTCAAGCCAGAGAGATCGAAAGAGTCCGAGCAAAAGTCCCAATCACACAAAGCCAAGCCGTAGTCAAACGTTACCGATAGTCAGAGTCCAAACAAGCTAGTATCGTAGTCAGGAAGCGTAGCCGAGGATCAAGAGCCAGGGGTCGTCAAAACACGGACTGGAGTCGGGAACCGGGAAATCAGTCAGGAGCCAAACAGAGTCAGAGGTGCAGAGCTTCTGGTCCAACGAACAAGTTTGCCAGCACAGTTTGCTAACAGTCAGCGGTCTGTTCAAATAGCGTGCTGGGTCGTTATCTCATTAGCACGGCTTCACGAAGTCCTTGATTCTGTTATTAATCTGGGCTTAATTATCACCAACCGCGCAAGCGTGTCTCCTTGCGCCTGGTTGCCAAATCCTGGTGTCTCTGATCCCTCAGCCGGTCAACAGGTGGCGGAGAATCGGGTGGCATGTTGCTGGGGCCAGGCATTGCCCGAACTGCTTCAGGTGCAAACTGTCCTGGGGTTTGACGTTCATTTTCCCCAGCACTTAGGTTTGGTGAGGACTTTCGTGCTTCTGATGATGTTAAAGGCACGGAGTCCTCCATTTCAGAGCTCCCAGGCGCCGGGTCGGGTACAGGCATGGCACAGAGACAATAAAATAACGGGAATTTATTACAGTTAATTCTGGACCAGGGCCCCTTTGCTAAGGCATTGCATTGATGTGTACTGATGACACTGTCCTGCCTTGGTACTTGAGGCTTCAGCTGGGTCAAGCAAAGTCTAACACGTCACTGCTTCCCTTGTTATGGTTCTTTTTGAACAACAGAAAACAAGTTTCTTACATTTGCTATAAATGTAGTGTCAGTAATATCCTATACAACTTTAATTATCTCTGAATGATGTTACAAATTACAAATAGTAGGATTTTCAGGATAGGAATGTGTGATCTGCCCCATTACAAGCGGTGAAAATTCATATTACTAGCCCATTATTTGTAAACTCTGTAAACATCACTGGTTAATTTAGGCATTATAGAGATACTTATTGTATTTGGTTTACAGGGAAGCATCCATTCATTTAGCATTGTTCCTGCAAAATGAAATGAAGATTCACTAAAATGAATGAAGGTTGTTCAGTAGCCAGATTCTGTGGATTATTCCTATTGCCATCTTTACTAGTACTTATATGAGTTTTCTTAACCTTCACTGTGTTTATTTTAAAATATCTCTCAGGCTGACAGAACTAATATAGAATTTAAAAGGGAAAGTTCAAGGAGAAATTAGTGGCTGCAAGTCAAAAACTCACCCACTTTTGGCACAAAACCCTGAGTTTGTCTGGTAGAAGGGGACACAACATAGCCAGGTCAGCACATGCACAGAAAAATCATAGTAAGTAGGAGGTGCTTTATACCAGCTACAATGAGGATTGCCAACAACCAGAGGAAACCGTCCTGCACTTTTAACAGAGGCCTAATGAGATGTTATTTACTAAGTGATGCTGTCTTAGCCATTGCAATGTAGTGGTTAGAGCAGTGATACTCAGTGGCTCAAGAGCTATATGTGGCTCTTTGACATGCCACTTGTGGCTCTTCTGAGCACCATTCCCCAATGTGACATCTGCCCTTTGTTTCAGGAAAGTGGATGAAGTTCTTGGCCAGGAGGGCTTGGTATTGGCAGAGTCACTACTGAAAGAAGGGGAAGCTGTGAGCCTCCTCGAGGTGTAGGCCTCATGTCAGGGATAGAAGTAAATATGGCTCTTCTGATTGATGGTATTGGCAAATGGATTTCTCCACAAGCTGCAGACTGAGTACCAATGGGTTCGAGGGTTGAACTAGGACATAGGAAGACCGAGGTTTGAACCCCACTGTTCTGTGGGAGCTTGCTTTGTGACCTTGGGCCAGTCATACACTCTCAGCCTAACCTACCTCACAGGGTTGTTGTGAGAATAAACTGGAGGAGGCGAGAAATGATGTGAGCCACTTTGGGTCCCCACTGGGGAGAAAGGCATAGTATAAATACATTAATAAGTAAATAAACTTTACTTCTGTGCCATGAAAAACTTTAACTGCTCATTTTCACACATTAAGCCTCTGTTAAAAGGTCAAGGCAATTTTTCTCTGAGTTGTTTGCAACCCTAGCTGTCACGTGCACCAAGTGATGCTGGTCTAGAGTCAAATGAAATCATGCTTTATTTTCACTTTTTCATTAATCTTGATATATTAAGGACTTAGGATACAAATGAGCAGTAGGAGAGAGAAGAAGGAACAGTCTGCAGACCAGAGCACCAACGTCAGCCTTGCAGATGGGTTACGCAAGCTCAATGGAATTTAAGTATGCATTAACTAGAAGGTTGGATTGCAATGTTTGCCTTTCTTGTTTCTTCAGGAGTAAAGATAAGCAGCCTGCTTGGGAAGAAGGGAAACCTGGAAAAATTGCAGAGTTATTGGGAAGTGGGATTTTTCTTGGGAGCCAGTGTTTTGGCAAATGATCATACTAGAGTGATTCAGGCCTCAGAAAAACTTTTCAAATTGAAGACACCAGCATGGTAAGTCATTGCACTAGCAGCGCAGGTTAAATTTAGCACCTTCAAAATGCATATTATCGTACTGTATTTCTCTTAGTTCTCTGAGGCAGGAAAGCTGAAACAATTGGATTTTTCTTTTCTCAGACTTGTGAATCTGTCCAAGGAAACTATGTTCTTTTAATGTTGGCTCAGAGCCTGTGTGAGTGAAAACAAGGTCATCGTACAAATATGGTCTTTCATTTTTGTTCTTATTTTATTATTTTTTAATATAAAACAATTCCAATGTAAGCTGACACCACTTTCCAAATAGCAGAGAATATCTCTTGCCATGGTCAAGAATGGCTGCTTTGAAAATTTCAGTTCTGTTATCCTAAAAACAGATCTGTGTATACAAAATCGGTTAGGTCATGTGATTCTTTCAAAAACAAGGGCAACGTTCACCAGAGCTTTTGGCTCAGAACACAAGCTGCTGCCAGTTCTACTGTCAGATTATTCCCCTTCCTCTTAACCGGCTTTATTAGCTCAAACCAATTTAGGATTTCAGCCTATATAATGGCAATTAAACTTTGAAATTGATTTGCCTTAGTTGTGTTGACTCTCTAGTTTTCTCATCTGCTGTATACAGATGAGGCATTTCTGCATAGCATTTATCCTTCAAAGGGTACCAGGTAGCAAAATACTGGACAGCCTACGTGCGATTACTGTTGTCCTTCTTAGCATCTTTAGCTGCAAACAAGCCAGTCATTTTGCTGGGTTCAGGGATGAGAATGGTGTATTGCAGTTGCTAAGCAACCATAAGCTATAACTTCATAATCAATTTTATATCAGTTGGGGGGGGGTGCGTCTGTGTGTATATAATTATCCCCAGAGAAGGTAATGAATTACAAGGACCTGGGTAATGGTAGGTGTCCACATGAAGTTATCTCCCCATCCAGAGCATCCACATGATGTTGTACTTTTTGTTTCATATTTATTTACTGTATTCTCCCCTGCCCTTTGACCAATGTATCCAGGACAGCTTGCAGAAATTAAAAGGTTAATTTAAAGAATTATAAACAAATGGTGTGTTAGGAAGCATTTAGCATTTAGGGGCTGCGGTGGCTCAAGTGGTTAAGACACTGAACTGCAAGCTATGGAAGGTCAGTAGTTCAGCAGTTCGAGACCCGAGTTGCCGCATGATGGAGTGAGCTCCCGTCTCTAGTTCCAGCTCCTGCCAACCTAGCAGTTCGAAAGCAAGAAATTGCAAGTAGATAAATAGGTACCACTTTGGTGGTAAGGTAACAGCATTCCGTGTGCCTTGGTGTTTAATCATGCCGGTCGCATGACCACAGAAACGTCTTCGGACAGCGCTGGCTCTTCGGCTTTGAAACGGAGATGAGCACCGCAACCCTAGAGTCGGACTCGACTGGCTTTCGAGCAAGGGAACCTTCACCTTTACCTTTTTAAAACTTATGACAAACGTCTACTAGGTTTGGATGTGTGGAGAGGCAAAAAGACAAGTATATATCTCACCTTTATACACTTCTGTTAAGTGAAAAACTGGTTTTCTCTACAGCTGTTGACCTCCCAGTTATCAAATAACATTAGACTCTGTTAGTGCTGCCTTTTCTAGATAAAAGATCTAGTGCTGTGTTTCATTTAAATAGCCCTTTACAACTGTAACAACCACTCTGGGAATTAGACTGAAACTTGGCAAAGGTCGTCTGTGGAATCCCATGACTCAATTGGCATTTAAATCTAGATGCTGCTGGTCCACTGAATTATAGAATCTGGTCAAAGGATGCTTTCTCCTTCATTGTGTCTAACTTATAAGTGACTAGATTCAGGTGGGTAGCCATGTTGATCTGAAGCAGCAGAACAAAGTTTGAGTCCAGTGGCACCTTTATGCCCAACAAAGTTTTATTCATGGTATAAGCTTTTGTGTGCAAGCACACTTCCTCAGATACAGTGGAACAGAACCTCCTCAACCATTACTTAGAGGGGGTGGGGGGTTGTCGTCAGGAAGGGCCATTTAGAATCAAAATGCATAAGTAAAGTAAAGGTTCCCTTGCTCGAAAGCCAGTCGAGTCCGACTCTAGGGTTGCGGTGCTCATTTCCGTTTCAAAGCCGAAGAGCCAGCGCTGTCCGAAGACGTTTCCGTGGTCATGGGGCCGGCATGACTAAACACCAAGGTACACGGAACGCTGTTACCTTCCCACCGAAGTGGTACCTGTTTATCTATTTGCAATTTCTTGCTTTCGAACTGCTAGGTTGGCATAAGTACTGGGTGATTATAACTGAGATTGGATGTAAGAAAGATCTGTTAGGGGCAGTAAATTAGCATACAAATACAGGAGTTAACAAACAGATGTGGGAATGAGGTTTGAGTCCAGTGGCACCTACAAGACAAAGTTCAAAACTGGGTACAAGCGAGAACTGAGAGACTTAGTATGTACACTTCTTCAGATTCATTGAAACAGATTTCCTCAAATACATAGATAACCCCCCCATATAACACTATAGGAATTTGAGATACAAAGGTGTGTATGTGAAAATTTCTAAAATGGAGAAGCATGAAATGGGCATCTGTGTGTTATCAGGCAAGGACCATAGCTGTTATGGTTTTCCAAGTACGTTTTTTACCTGTTTTTGTGAACTTTTTATCAAACTAGTGCCAAAACATTTATCTGGGAGTAGGAGAAAGCTCTCTGTAGACATAACCAGGTTTTCTGTCCTGTGTCACCAGTAAACCTACTTACCCTCTCAACTTGGTAATGTGACATTAAGTACAAATAAAGCATGTAAAATTACAAACAGTTGCGCTTTTGATCGTTGTCTCTAGGTACCTCAAGTCAACTGTGGAGACTATTTTGATATATCAGCACTTTAAGAAACTGAATCCAGAACAGCAGGTTGCCAAACATGAACTTGTAGACTTTTGGATGGACTTTCTGGTTGAAGCCACAAAGACAGATGTGTCAGTAGTTAGATTTCCTGTAAGTATATTTTAAAACATTTTCAATTAATGTTTAGTATTGTTCATTTCCTGTTTGTCCTGCCTGAGGATTATTTGGAAAATGTTCATTTAATTCATTTTAACTTTCAAAAACAGAAAAGCTTCATATAAACATTGCAGTTATTTAATGATATTAAATTTATTATTTTTATTTATTTACAAAATTTAAACCCTACCTTTCTGCCTTCATCAGGGCAACCATGGCTGCTAACAAATTAAATAATTTTATACCCATAAATGTCTTCAAATTAATAAGCGCTAACTGTGGAAATGTCTACACCTAAACTCCAGAGCTTTACCTAGACATGGGTGGGGGACTATTTAGTAGTATACTCTGTATTTTCTTTTCCAAGGTTTTAATACTGGAACCTACAAAAATCTACCAGCCTTCATATCTTTCCATCAACAGTGAGGCTGAAGAGAAGACAGTCTCTATCTGGCATGTTATGCCTGACGATAAGGTAAGCCAGCTCCACATTGTTTGTCAGAATGAAGGGTGAATGCAATCAAAAGATCATGGAATCTTGTTGGTGAATTATATCCTGTAACTTCGTGGTTTCTAGCAGCTGATTGCTTAATGTAAGAGATTAAAGGAAAATGGAGAAGCTTTGGATAAAGGAGACAATTTTAAGCGTTTAATGTTTATTTGAGAGAGCAAGGGAATGAAACAGAGGTGAAAGAAGTCCAAAGATGAGGAAATAGGGGTTATTTGGAAAGGAAGTGTTAGGCATAGCATACCCATACATGCTAATTCATGGCATTTGGAAGGTTCTATACAAACAACATTTTGTCACTGTTCTGTCTAGTGTCCCTTATCAACAATTGTGATACTGTATTAGTAGACCACAGAGCTCTGCACAACTAATAGATGGGCATAGTGCAAGCATATCACATCTCCTCAACTCCAACCACAAAGTGGAGCTGTAGCTTTGGTGTCCCATGTGCAGGCTGCCACTACCTAACAGTTTGAAGAATGGCTTATTTGAGCAATGTAGAGGCAGCTCCTTGGTTGGAATCAGGACTCTGGAGATGAAAAGTTGAAAACTCTGGAGGTAAATAATAGGCACCTCCCTTTACATCTCTGGTGTGTCCTTGGTATAAAGGAGTCTAGAGTGAGGAATTATACATGGACAGATATTGTGCTTCTCAGGTGTGTAATTAACTTTTTTAAAAAATAAAGAATATACCCTCCAAAAGTAAAATAAGCCTACTTTATCACATAACTGTCTTGTCAGAAAACCAGGATTGTCTCTGACTTTCTGGTGATAGACATTGGTAGCAAGCCATGGGATTTATTTATTTATTTATTTATGACATTTTTACCCCGTCCTCCCCACAAGCGGGCTCAGGGCAGCTTACAAGGGGCAGAGCCCGCATAAAACATAGTAAAAGCAATAAAACCTTAAATAACACAGATAAAAATAAAGTGCTCCATGAAGACAAGATGGTCCCCGAATAAATCTCTTGATGGTAACAGTCAGTTCTTTGGGATGATCTTATCCTATAGTTGGTCCCAAGTAAGTCCGGTGGTACCAGTGCCATGTGGTGTTATAAGCGGTCTTCCTCGGGCCATCCCTAGCCCCATTGTTATCCACAGCGTTGGTGCTGGTGGCAGTGGTGGTCCCTATGCAAAAGCCTGGCGGAAGAGCTCCATCTTGCAGGCCCTGCGGAACTGCAGAAGGTCCCGCAGGGCCCTGATCTCCGGGAGCTCATTCCACCAGGTAGGGGCCGCCACCTAAAAGGATCGGGCCCTGGTCACGGCGAGGTTTGCCTCCCGGGGGCCTGGAATCACCAGGCGATGTTGTGTCCCTGACCGAAGTGCTCTTGGGGGTATATATGGGGAAAGGGACCTACCTCAGGTTGGTCGGACCCTGGCCATGTAGGGCTTTAAAGGCAAGCACCAGCACTTTGAAATGGATTTGGTATGCTATTGGCAGCCAGTGCAGTGCTTCCAGCCCAGGCCGGATGTGCTCCCACTTGGGGAGACCCAACGTAAGCCTGGTCACCACATTCTGCACCAGCTGCAGCCTCCGAATCTGCGCCAAAGGCAACCCCATGTGGAGAGCGTTACAGTAGTCTAGCCTCGAGGTGACTGTCACATGGATCACTGTAGCCAGGTCGTTGTGATTGAGGAAGGGGACCAACTGCCGAACCAGCCTAAGATGATAAAATGCTGATCTGGCAGTGGCTGCCACCTGGGCCTCCATAGTCAGGAAGGAATCCAAGCGCACTCCCAAGCTCCTAACCTCCGGCGTTGACACCAATGGCGCCCCATCGAAGTTCGGGAGAGGGATCCCTAACCCTGATCCATTCCTACTCAGGCACAGGACCTCAGTCTTCACTGGGTTTAATTTCAGCCGGCTCAGCCTGAGCCACTCAGCCATTGCCTGTAATGCCCGGGTCAGATCTTCTGGGTCAGAGCCCGACCAGCCACCTAACATCAGATAGAGCTGGGTGTCA